GTTTGTTTATCGAAAAAATGAGGATAACCCTTGTTGGATGCATTATGCAATGTTCAGGTTTCAATCCCGAGCTCACTTCAGTGCCAACCAATTTAAACTAATATCTTATATTGCGCATAGAAGGCAGGTCACGAGTGGTGGCTGAGTTTCAGATGCATTATGCAATGTTCGGGTTTCACTAATATCTTATATTGGGCATAGAAGGCAGGTCACGAGTGGTGGCTGAGTTTCTCCTACTGCATCTGGAGGTTTCAGCTTCGTTATCTGTGTAATGTAAAGGAAAAGCTGCATAGATCAACTCTCCCCAGACTACGTAAGGGGTGTGTGCTTCTCTTATATTGGGCTTAAAATGATTGAACACTCGAGGAAAATAAAATCCTTAAAAAACTAGGCTAGCCAGTCTACTTGTCATCAAACTCGAGCACAACAGAATTCCATCGCCAACTTGAGGTTTTGCCTCCCTCAATCTCACACCCAAACGCTATCATTAGAGAAATGCCATTGTTAACAACCGCAACAATGAACATCAAAGTTTTTATTTTTTATTATTTTCGTTAATATCACAGAAAAAAAAATTAGATTAAAAAAAAAACAGAATGACAAAAGAAATGAATTTAGATGGGCATTGTCTATATATCATAACGTCTCTCTGTGACAATGTTTTTTTCTTTGTAAAAACTTTCTTCTGTTGCGGATATCAAGGGATAAATTTCTAATTCTGAGGATTAGACATCTTAATAACTTATTTATTAATTTTTCACACTCGAGCAAAAAACAACTATTGGCAATATTAATCCATAGGCATTCCTCAAATTATTAATTAGGGTTCTTCCTACCATGTAAATTATGTGCAGCACAAGAACTTCTATTTAAAGGGAAAACAAAAGGACATAAAGCCCCAGTAAGCCCTCCAATTTCTGAAGACTTCGCTAATTCTGATGCATCACATTTAACAATCAAATCAAAAGATCATCAAGGTTAACATGAATGTAAAAGCTGTATAATAGGCATGAAGTTAGGCCAAAAAGCAAGCCTGTGATTGGGGTATACATAAAAACATACAGATAAAAATTTGATGATTACCTTTAATCCTAAAGACCTTCCGGTAGAAGCAAATAAATGTAAAAGACTTTTGTTTCTCAAACATATAAAAACTTCAGTTGCAGTCATGCTTCCGACATTTAAAGCTTCCTCGCATTCTAACAAAGCAGAGGTTGCAAGGATGTTTTTAGAGCATTGAAGAAGAAAGCGGCCATTCCTGTACTTCATACCACTTAAGTTAAAATGATATCAAAGTCATTAATCAAAGGTAGACTTGTCAAGGACTTCAATAAATAATTTATTGGAAATATGGATAGCACAAGAAAAAGGATCTTTAACACCCTTACATTCTTCAATTTCAAACAATCCTACCTACAAAGCCATTATTGCTGAGTGAGAACAAAACCTGATGTTTATTCGAAGTTTTATATATGATGAGCCATATGCTCGTACTTGCAAAACTTCATCCCAATAAAATTCATTCGCAAGTGGTACACCATCTTTCTGTAAGAGAAACAATAAGAAGACTGTTTTAAAGAGATAGCATTCAATTCAGACATATGAAACATAAAAAAGTAAATGTTTTGCACCTCTAACCAAACAACACAAAAAAACTAATCAACATCACAAACAATATAAGAAACTAAAAATTTGACAGCCAATGTAAGGATATTCCATTATTGCAATATTTAGTTAAAAGTGTAGAACAAAATTTTCATCCACTGCCTTCTAAAGTACAGGAATTCAAGTACACAGGCACAAAAAACCAAATTTATTTCCATTTTATAAACAAGCTACAAATTTATTTCTTCTGCTTTCTGACAAAAGAAAGCTACCACAAAGCAGGCTTAACACGTTTGGAATGAAAACTGCCAAGCTACTTTCCCAAATCATGTCCTTAAATTGCCTCCTAAGACCGCATAAAGCAGCTTCCTGACAGCAGTTTCCAATCCTTCTTCAAAAAAAGGGAAGAAAACAACCAAAGATGCCGTAAATCCATCTATAAGCACATGGAGCTCATCTAATTATTCACCTTCACCTTAAAAAAAGAAAAACTCTCAAAGGATTTTCCCCAGCAACAATGTCCCTAGACTGCACAAAAGACACAAACTACCCTGGACCAACTTGGCAATACAAAAGAGATGTATGCAAGTGATCCATAGCAGTGCCATCGCCAAAAGCAAAGTAATAGCAAACACAGTAGAAAGGTAGAATTGGAAGAGGGGATGGCAATATTGTAAACATAATTCTGCATTTCTAGTTAAGTAAAATGTTTCCACTTTTGCAGAATAATTAGCAAAATCATTTAGACAGACCTTCCTTGAGAACGGATCCAAGTCATCACCTTCAGGCTTAAGGATAACATCAGCTGGAGCTTGACATATGTGAGCATTTTTTATCAATTCTCTTTGGATATCAAGAAGACGAGTGTGTCTGTTACAAGTAATGGCTCTGAGAAGAAGTTTCTCCACATCAATGCAGCTTAATTGCAGAGAGAGTTCTGCTTCCTTGTTCGTAACTGGATCGAATACAAATGTACTGTGCAAACACTTTATCTGTAGATCTTGTGCAGGCTCAATTTTGATAAAAGGAGGTGAGCCAGAATCAGAAACTGTGGCGTTCCTCACCCAATCCAACCAGTAGATGATTTTCAAAACAGGGATCCTTTGTGTAACTGAATCTAATTCAGCATCCTGCCCTATTTGTGCAGAACTGGCTTGTCCAGTAATACCATCAGAAATGAGCTCAAAACGTATAGCATCTTTCCACCTGCCTTGGCGTAGTATTTTAACTTGCCTTAGCACAGTGTCCATAACAAGGGAAACACACAGTTCATGCAGAATCGTGTATAGAATCATGAACGGGTTCTCGGCTGCAGCCATCCTACGCTCCAAATCTTCCCCAAGTGCATAACGTCGACTTTCTTCAAATTTAATAGGCTCGTCTTTTTCACCCACAAGCAGCTCCAAATGCAATATTCTCCACAAAGAGAGATGCCCACGGTAACCCAATGTAAGAAAAACCTTAAATTCTCCATCAACAATAAGAACAGCCATACCATTTGAAACTCTAACCTCAGAAATTTCCTTGGGAACAGATATATCAAGAAGCTTGGAACGTAAGAGCATTTCCAGTTTCTTCAAAGCAGGTTTCTGCAGATCCTCCGAAAGGGAAGACTGAAAGCCCAAATCTTCTATGCATTTTGGGAGCCGATTGTACCCTCCGGTAAGAAGGACCTCTATGGCGGATGGAACATCAAATATTGGAGCTCTTGCTTGTTGCAGACCCTCATGTGTGTAGAATAATGAATCGGCTGTTTGGGTGAAGCATGTGTCATGGCTAGAAAGAGTTGCTGAGAGTTGTTGACAGTATTGAATCAAAGGAACCTAATAATTCAGAAGTCAAATAATGCTTAGAATAGCAGTCGAACTAATAGACTTTTAATGACCTGAGAAAACTATAGTGACTAGGTAAAAATTCTAAAGCAACAAGTTCATGAGAATGAGATTTAGTATCAAAGTCAGCAATTCAATATTATAGACAATAAACCATAGTTTAATTCATATCTTAATGATCACCCTAGAAAGTTATATTTAAAGCGAGAATTAAAACTTGCGCATCACGAAATGCATGAGTAAATTAGTTAAAGAAAATATGCAAGTCTCGTCTAAATAAAAGAAAATATAAATGTAACATTCAAAAAGTGGCATAGAATAAATTTAAAGTTGAAAATTAAATAGTAATAACAGTTAATTATTATACTAAATAAAAATAAGAAATAGAAAATTTACAACAGATGCATGTCATTACAAATACTATATATAACATCATGTGAATATATAACAAGATCTCATAAAAATTAGTCTAGTAGATTACCCTCCATACATCTAGCTCATAAAATGGATCAACAAAACATGCAGAAAACAAAAAAATAAATAAAGTAAAAGCTAGGTAAATAAAAAAATGTAAAGAAAAAAAAATGCAATAAAAATTATTGATAGCCAATCAAAAGAACCACCTGAGAAAATAATGGCGGGAGAGAAGAACAAGAGTAGAGAGGGGGAAAAAAATCATTCTCTCTTGAAGAATAAAGAGTGAGATTGCAAAGAGGAAAAGTACACTTCAGAGCAAAAAGGAGCCTTGAAAAAAAGGTGTGAAAAAAGAATTAAAAAATGTTACATTCCTCGTACACAAAAAACTCAAAATCTCCCCATCAAATTTATACCTCAATAAGTGGGATGTCAGAATGTACAACATCTTTCAAGGAACATGTAGTTATTAGAATTGAAAATAAAAGGAAAATAGCATGAAGATTAGGGCGGCAATGGACCCAAAGCGATGGTTAGGACATCATCATTGTTATTTGTTGGTCACGTCTTCAAGATATAGAAAGTCTCTAATCAAATCCAGAGACAAAGTTGCATGCATCAACCCTCGTACTAGCAAGAGTTCGATAAACTAACTACAACCTTTCATTGAGAAAGAACATGCCCCATGTATGAATGAAATAGTGGTGTGTGGAACTTGAGTTAGTGATGGCCATCACTACGCATAGTCTATGAATGTTTCCCTTCTCTTAATCTTTGCATTTGCTTGAACTTTTGCTGCTACTTTTCTATAGCTCAAGCTCATCTCAACTATATTCCCTCGAGTTAAAGGCTGTATCTTCCCATCAACAATTTCATTCTTATAGGTAGACACAATAATAAAAATAAGATGCTAGGAAAAAAGCTAGATACATGGTGAGTACATCATATTTCGATAATTAAAATAAAATTTTAACTTTTATTTAACTAAAATGGTGAGATTAAACGAAAACAATACATTCTATAGGCTAGACAAATTAACATAAATTTAACTGATCACATAAAAATGTCATTAAGTTGCACCCTTATATGGTTTAAAATTCATTTTGCTAAGATGAATAAGGTGAAGACAACAATCTCTTCAAGATGGAAAAGTTTTGAAACGTTTTGTTTTCTCCATGAATGCATATTATTGGAATCATTCAAATGGCTTTGCCGACCCTCATTTTTGGAGTTCATATCCTTAACAAATGCTATCTCGTGCCTTATATATATGAATAAAGAAAAGCAATAGAATGTGTATTATTTTACCATGCATGTGTTGAAAAAAGAAACATTGCAAGAAAATGGGGTATTCTACCACACTGCTTGAAATGACAAAGTTTTAACTAGGACTGCCTTAACACATGCAGATGCGTGGAAATATTATAGTTATTTTGAAAATGAAATGAATTTTTTTTCTTATATCAAAGTTATTCAATCTCCTACGAAGAAAGTTGTTCAATCTCCTACGAAGAGATCAACTTCTACTCGAAAACTTGGTCCAAATCTTCATTGAATAGGATTAGCATCCAATTCTTTCCAAGGAAATTCAAGGAGTCCATAAGGTAATTTTAGTGCGCACAAATGTGTCCCTTGTTTACAAATAATGAGTTTAGAAATTAATCTTGAAATCTTGCTACCCAAAGCAAATATTAAGATTTCAAAAGACTTCATGTAAATCCATAGGTAACTAATCAGGTGGAACTATCACTTTATTGAAGAAAGATTGCTTGAAATAACTAATATAATAAAGAATAGCCGGTACTCTTAAAAATGAATGCTTGAATTAACAAACTAAACTAAAAGAGTAGTACCTTGACGAAACTAAGATTTCCTCAAAAGTTCTTTCTATTGACTTCTTTAGTCTAGGCTTCCAACTTTGCCCTGCTGTGCCTTTCTTATCACCTCAATTTAATACTGTTTTCTACTTTAGATAGTGAGCGGTTTCACTTTTTTATGAAAATCGCATATCAGTCATTGTTGGTTCGTAGTCATTTCCCCAATAACTATTTTGGTTGTCAATTATGGGAGTCGGGGCACTAAAACTAGAGATGGAGTAGTTTGCACGTGTTGTTAACAGTTGGAGCAAGGAGGCAAGGAAACTAACATACACAGAAAAGGAAAGTAGAGAGACCATGGGGGGAATTAGAAATAATAATTCATTCAATCCTGACTTTAAAATCAAAGTACAAATAATCCCTATTTTAGGAAAGTTATGAATTATCTAGAATGCCATTCAAAGACAAAATAAACAAGAAAATAAAAACTACCCTAGAAAGCAGCAACTAACTCCCTAAATCTAGAAATGTCAAGGAATAAAAGAAAAAAATTAGATATTAGCAAGGGATTTAAATGAATCACTTGAAATGTTCCTTTGCTTAGCAAACCAATGTTTTCTATCAAATTTGGTAACAAATTTATTGCCAGGCTCCATTTGAATGCTTTCCTTTAGAAAATCTTCAATTTTGATCCTCCATGCATGACTAACTTCCTTCATTGGTTTGAATTAAAGTTGAAACTTTCTAAAGCATCCAATAACACTTGAAAATTTGCAGATCTGGTAATCTTCTACAACCAACAAATTCAACTTGTGATTGTATAGAATAATCGGGAATTTCTAGGGAAATAGAGATATTACAAAACAATTATAAATTTTTAGAAATGAAGAACGCCCCTTTAATTCCTGCGGCTCTTGCCAACAATAACTTCCTCTAATTTAAATTTTGCTCCTTTACCTTTCTTTTATTTCCTTTTCTAGCCTAAGTTACCAAAAATGTCAAGGGAACTACTAAGAGAGTTTTACTTCTCATCCTCCATACTCTCTCTTTTCTTCAGCCTTTATTCTCTCTCTTTTTCCTTGTTGGAGTTACTAGTGGTGCTAATAAAATTGATGATGAGGTAATTGTAACAGTAGTGTTGGTAGAGTTGAAATTGTAGGTTGATCAAGTAAAATCCCATGCTCATGCTTTAGTGTAATTGAGTAATGCTTTAGAAACTCTTCTATAGAGCTGCCATTCCAAAACGAAAAATTTCCTTCCATATGAAAATAAAAAAAGGAATTGCTTGCTTTTGAATCATATCGCATCCCTATCCCGTAGATTTTACTACTATGAACGTAGCTTGCTCTAAAGATAGCCATCCGTTAATTGCGAATTAATGCATTGGTTGATTTGCAGTATTGTATCCCTTCATGTGCTTTCTGGACATTTTTTTCTGGCTACCATCGAATTATGATGCATCCAACTGATATGGAAAAGACTGCTTTTATCTCGAAGGAAGTTTTTGCTATAATGCAATAACTTTTGGCTTGAAGAATGCTGGAGCAACCTATCAAATGTTGATGTATATAATATTTGCTAATAAAAAATGGAAGAAATATTAAACTCTATATTGATAACCTATTTGTAAAAAGTAAATTACCATAACAACACATATTGGATCTCGAGAAAATTTTTGACATATTATGAAAGTTCAAGCTTAGGCTTAATCCTCCCAAATACACTTCTGGAGTTATCTCTAGAAAATTTCTTTGATATTTACTTACTCCCAAAGGAATAAAGCCAGAAATTGAGAAGGTACAAGCTATATTGAGCATGACACCGCCAAGGAGCCTCAAAAGGATGCGAGTTTTAATTGGACGAATCATACATCTCAGTAGACTCATCTCAAAATTCGGAGATTGTTTTCTCCGTTCTTCTAAACCATTAAAAATGCCAATCATTTTACTTGTATGTAAGAATGCGAGGAAACCTTCCCATAGCTAAAGAATCTATTAGCGTCATTGTTTTAGCAGCTTAATCTCATCCCTGGTAAAGAATTTTACATTTATTTGTGAGTCTGCAAAGAGGCAACCGGTTCAGTGCTCATTAGAATGATAACAAAAGTCAATTCTCGTTTACATTGTCAGACATTGTCAGCAAATTACTCCAAAGAGCTGAACATAGATACATGATAATGGAGAAACTTGCATTTCCATGCTCACTCGATCCATTTAGTATCCGAGCATCCTTTGAAATCTGTGTTGTCCGAACCTGGTGTGTCCGAACCTGATTATTCAGTGAGATTACTGAAATGGGCAATGGTGCTTAACAAATTTGATATTCTTACATACCTAGGACAACCATTAAAGCCCAAGCTGCGTTGATTTTCTTGTTGGCTTCTCTGAAGGAGTAATAAAGAAAGAAATTTGCATAGGAACAAACAAACTTTGGATACGTTACAAAGATGGAGCTTTGTGAATCTCGTGAAAAGGAATAAACATGGTCCTACACAGCCCCGTAGGATATATTCTGAGTTACTCAATTCAGCTTGATATTGCCGCCACTAACTAACAAACAAAATATGAGGCTTTGATCGTCGGCCTCAGATTTTCACTACGAATCAGAATCACCCATTTATTCGATCTGATTCCCAACTAGTGGTCAGTCAAATAAGTGGATTTTTTGAGACACAAGATTAGATCAAGCTTAAGTTTTTGACCAAGGCCAAAGTAGAAATAGGTAAACTTGAGCATTTCGAGTCGAATACATCCCGAGAACATTCTTCATTTGTCATTTGTTTTTTACCATTACTATGTTAGCTATAAATTCAAGATGTTGTAGCTAACTTCAAGACTTCCTGTTGAATAGGCTTGGCTTAAATGATTGGTCGTGGCTCACATTTTCTATTCAAGTGGCTTAGATCCTGGCTTGACGTTGAAGTGATGGCAAGTGATGTTGATGTCAACTTCAGGCATCTCAGTGAGGCTCCATGCAAGATGTCCTTGTGATTCCTGAAGACATCGATGAGATGATCTCGAAGTTCCCCACTAAAGTTTGTACTAATCAAGAAGGTTCTCTTTATTTCAACTGTGAATATGGGCACGACTTCAAGGTTCTATGTGCTACCCTTATTTTGGTCAAGTAGGAGGAGATCCTCCTGTATATTCTTCACGACTCATAGACAACAAGTTTGAGACTGGATTGGGTCCCCTCATAAAGTGATAACCTGTCCACCACTAGAAAACTTGACAGTGACATGGTAGGTTGATTTAACCGCTCCGAAGATTTTTAGCATCGGCCAGTCGAATTTACATTATGCCATTGTTGCTTCTAGGACGATAAAATCAAATATAGTTGTGATTTTTCGTTCTCCTTCTCCCCATGTTACTTATAGGGCTTCCTAATAATCTTGATATTGTTTATACCACTTGGAACATTAAGGTTAATGGGGATCCTGGCTAGTTTCTCACTTTCCAATAGATTGAATAATGTTAAGAAGGATTTAAAAACTTAAAGTGGTACAATGCTAACTCTTTTTCTAAATCTATTGATGACTTTAAAGGAAGCAAAATGTTTTGATGAATCAATTAAAATAAAATCCACAATGTAATAATTTACTTTCTCTTATGTTTCATAATCAAAATTAGTTACAAGATTCTTTAACTTGTGAAAATAAATGTACTAAAGAATGGGCGAATTATTTTTTTTTCTCTAAAGGGGAGGATGGAATTAAGTTTTTTTTATCAAAGAGCTAAAATTAGGAAGAGCACCAATTTCATTAAACAACTTTTATTATTATTATTCTTATATTAATCTTTATAAAGATATTGCAAATGAGGCTATCTCCTTTTCAATAATTTGCTCAATAGAAATAATGATATATCTATTTATTATTATAATCTCTTTTCTTTTGCTAATAATATCTTAATAATATTAATAACTCTGAATGTGAAGCCCTTTTGCATGAGTTTTCTCATGAGAATTTTTTTTTAGCATTGGGACTAATAAAACTACTGGCCTGAATGGTTTTTCTTTAATTTTTTTGAAAATTCTTAACAGATTGTGGGTTATAGTTAAGCTATTAAATATTTCTTTAGTACGACTAAGCTTCCTAATAGAGTTAAACATTTGGCTATAATTCTCACTCCTAAGAATGCTAGGGCTCGAATCATTAATGATTTTAGGTATGTTTCTCTTTGAAATACTTTGAAATACTTTTTATAAAGTTAATGCCAAAATTCTCTTATAAAGGTTTAAGATCATTTTTCATAATGTTATTCATCCTACTTACATAGCTTTTATCAAAGTCCATGACACTGCTGATAGTATTGTTTTAACTAATGAATTGTTATATGATTTCAATTCCAACAATTCTCAGATAAAGAAATTCTATTCCAAGATCTAAATAAAGCATTTGATAAGGTCATGTCTTTTCTTTATGATGGAATGGAAAGAATAGGCATTCCTTCTACTTGTATAGGGTGGATTAAGTTTTTCACTGAAGATATCAGGTGAAGCATCGGGAGGCATGCTACTTATTAGCCCAAAGATAAAGAGCTCCGAGCAATGACTTTATATGTTCTTCTTAATTGTGTAGTTTAACGCACATGCGAACAACCAATCAGAGAAAATATAGGGGAAGAACACACTTTTTCTTCCTTCCCTCTGTATTCTCCGTCGAAGTTGTGTTAAATGTCTTAACACGCCTAATATTTTTCC